TAAGTTCCTATACAGAAACCTGTGCAGGAGCCTGTCAACTGGTCTGAGAATTCGTTGATGGTACATTTGCGTCACTTCACCAACTAAGGCAAATGATTTCTTCCTGAACTTCACTAAAATATCCACAATGTCACTTTGCAACTTAGGACCTGGTAGCGATTCACTGTTCAAACTCGTTCCACCTTGCTGAGCCGAGCCATCGAATACGATCCGAACTTTGGTTGTCGACTTCTCTGGGCGAACCACCGGGAAGTGCGGAAGGAACCATTCTGATGATGGTTTAGGCTCCACATCAGGAACTTCTCGTATGTATTCTTTGCTTATGTAGTCATTAATCACTGATTGGTACGCCTGAGCAAGACTCTCATCCTGCATCAATTTCTTTTCAACTGAGCGAAGGCGCTCTTCAGCCATCTGCCGGTTTGACTCCAAATGCGGTCTGTCGTGTTTCCAAGACACTGCAACTTCATATCTTTCTCCAGTGAATCTCATGGATTCGCTGACTTTGTTGACAGCGAGCCTCTCATCGGGGGTCAGTTGTCGATCCACTCGAGGCGTGATGCCGATAGACTCTAGGCTCCAAAATTGCTTCATCAGATTGTTAAGCTCCACGTCATTACTGTCCGGCCTCTGCATCCGATAAGTGTGAAGGAATCCTGTGCTACATGGCTCATCTCGTCCACACACATCAATGGTACCAATAGCTGTCCACCCTAGTGGACACAGTCTGGCACTAGGCTCACCACTGCCTCCACGAACTTCCTTCATGGGAAATAGCAGATTGTAATAATCTGAGCCAATGAGGACGTCGATCTTGCTTCTCTTCCCAGGTTTTGGGAAGGGAATGTTCCTTATATGCTTCCACTGATCTCTTATCTGTAACCAGTTAGTAGGTTTCATGCCTCCACAAATGCTGTGTGATGTCTTCGCTACGATAACAGTGTCTACTCGACCATCTAAACTCTCCAATCCAATCTCCATAGTGGCTGACATAAGATCTACCTTCTGGTCATTTGCAACATTAATGGTGACTTTCTCTTTCGGACCTTCCATACCTAATTCTTCCACGACATCTTCATTGACGTAAGTCGTATCACTGCCCTCATCTAAAAAGCAATTAACTTGCAAGTGCTTGGCCCCATGTTTCAGAATAACTGAAACAGTGCGAAGGGCAATTCTTCGTTGTTCATGTTCCTTTACTGTTTCATAAGTACTTGACTCGTTTCCATTCACACTAGATGCATCGGGATTCCTCTCCGTGAAATCAGGCAGATTTTTCTTTGGATGAAGTATCTGGTGGTGATGCTCCTTGCACCGATCAATACCACACTCTTTGCTCCAACGACATTCCTCACCCAGGTGCTCTTTTCCTAAGCAACGATAACACAGGCCAAACTTCTTCGCTGTCTCCCACTTCTTCTTATTTTCCATTCCTTTGAGCACCTCGCACTTCCAAATTGGGTGTTTTTGGTTGCACACCTTGCAAGGGCGGTCACGCTTGTCTCCAGTCCCGAAATATGACCGTGGCTATTTGGCATGCCTTCCTCCTGCACTAGAAGCACCATTCTTTACCTCTGATGCTTGCACTTGGTATTCCGCTTCCTCTGCGACCCATTCTCGTAATTCCTCAAGAGACTCCAGTTTTCCCTTTTCTTTAACCCATCTGTAGTACTGGCTGAGTAGAGATTGGGGAATTTTCTCTAGCACAATAGCATATAGAGTTCCACCTTCGAGATCAGAGGTATGTTTATTTTCCTTTAAAGTAACCACTTTCCTCTCCACTAGGTCAGCAAATTTTTCCAACTGTTGAGGGTCTTCTGCATTGATAGGTTTCATCTTTCTCAGCTCATCAATATGCGCCTGAACCTGTTGCTGATTTCCTCCATACTTTCAATTCAATCTCGTTTTTGCTGCTTCATAAGCCGCTGATGAATAACCGAAACCTTTCACCGTAACCGCCGCTTCGGTTTCCAAACAACTTTCCAGCCGCAAAATTTTAAATTGTGGTGATAAAGAAGTTTGATCAACACACCTTGAAAATGCTGCCCACCAAGAAGAATATTTCATCTTATCGCCCAAAAATTTAGGAATTCAAATCTGCTCGAGCTGTTTGTTTGGGTCAGCCAGGTGACTATCCTTCGCTCTCACATTATCCAAATTCCCGCCTTTGTTCTGAGCATTGGAATTTCCTTCNCTGTAGTACTGGCTGAGTAGAGATTGGGGAATTTTCTCTAGCACAATAGCATATAGAGTTCCACCTTCGAGATCAGAGGTATGTTTATTTTCCTTTATAGTAACCACTGTCCTCTCCACGAGGTCAGCAAAATTTTCCAACTCTCGAGGGTTTTCTGCATTAATAGGTCTCATCTTTCTCAGCTCATCAATATGCGCCTGAACCTGTCGCCGATTTCCTCCATACTTTCGATTCAATCTCGTTTTTGCTGTTTCATAAGCCGCCGACGAATAACCCAAACCTTTCACCGTAGCCGCCGCTTCGCCTTCCGAACAACTTTCCAGCCACAACATTTTAAATTGTGGTGATAAAGAAGTTTCATCAACGCAACTTGAAAACGCTGCTCACCAAGAAGGATATTTCATCTTATCGCCCGAAAATTTAGGAATTCGAATCCGCTCCAGCTGTTTGTTTGGGTCGGCCACGTGACTATCCTTCGCACTCGCGTTATCCAAATTCCCACGTTTGCTCTGAGCATTGGAATTTCCTTCGCTACTCTTAGCCACTCTTTTCGCTAAAAACAACCGAGCTCCCCTCGTTTCGCTATCGACAAGGTCGACTATACCATCGGCTTCTTCCTCAATTGACGCTACATTCGCCGTTTCTTTGTTTTCTTTGTACAAGGCTTGAAGATTCTCCAGTAATTCCAGCAATTCGTCCCGTCTCTTTTTGATGTCATTCAACCTATCCACAATTCTTTCGTTCTTCGGCGCTTCCACTGATAATTCCACGGCTAACTCGACTTGATTTAAGCGACCGTTTATCCTTTTTAAGCTTCTCCACATTTTCCATACTTCCGACAATACAAATAAACTTCTTGCTCTTCGGTGTTGCACACGCGGCAAAATTTCACTCCTGCAAATTCCAAATATTTCGACTCCAAGACATCCACAGTCTCCACCGAAGCGATAATCCGGCGTCCGA